AAAAGTTCAAAAAAAATAATTTTTGGTATTGTTTACACGGACTTTACTGTTCACATCAGATTTACTGTTCACATCAACTTACTGTTCATGTCAGATTTACTGTTCACACTAACTTACTCTTCATCTTTTTTTTTTTAATAATTTCAAACTCCATCTAAATCTATTCCAATACCAAATAATCTTTCAATTAACATTTAACAAGTACAAAACATTACAAATTACTCAATAATAAATTACAGGTCTGACCAAAGGAAGAAAATAATACATGTATATCACAAAAATTATCTCAAATAAAAAATTTATGTTAGAAAAATTACCTTCTTTTTCCTCTGGTTTATATTACACACATATAAATATAATTGAAACACACATTATCGTAAACCAGAAGTTTACAAATCATGATAATTTTTTTATTTGGCATGAACAATTTGTCCATCCTGGATCAATCATGATGCAAAAAATAATTGAAAATTAATATGTACACTCATTGAAGAGCCAACAGATTCTTTAATCTAATAATTTCTCATGTGTTACTTGTTCCTAAGGAAAAATTGATTAGTCAACCATCACTAGCTAAAATTGGAAATGAATCTATCATATTTTTGGAATGTATCTAAGGTGATATTTGTGGACCAATATACTCATCATATGGACCATTTAGATATTTTATGGTTTTAATTAATGCATTAACTAGATGGTCACATATTTTTTTGTTGTCAACTCGTAACCAGATGTTTGTGAGATTACTTACACAAATAATTCGTTTAAGAGCTCATTTTCTTAATTATTCAATTAAGAAAATATGCCTTGATAATGCTGGTGAATTTACTTTTTAAGCTTTTAACAATTATTGTATGTTTATTGGGATTGATATTAAGCATTATGTAGCACATGTACATACTCGAAATGGACTTGCTGAATCATTAATCAAGCATTTAAAATTAATTGCAAGACCATTACTAATGAGATCAAAACTTCCAATTTCTACTTAGGGACATGCAATCTTGTATGCTGAAATACTTATTCGCATCAAGCTAATAAACTATCATACGTTCTCCCCTTTGCAATTAGTTTATGGTCAACAACCAAATATTTCTCGTCTTAGAATTTATGGATGTGCAATGTATGTTCTCATTGCTCCACCACAATGCACTAAGATGGGTCCTCAAAGAAGGTTGGGAATATATGTTGGCTATGAATCTTCATCTATAATAAAATACCTTGAGCCAATGATAGAGAAAATAAGCATTTGGAAAAGAAGATAAGTTAGAATGAATTATCTTTATCTCATCTTGATCCTCGAACAAAACAGTGTGAATTGGAAGTTTAAAAGACAATTCATTTGCAAGGCTTAGCCAACCAACTACCAAATGTATTTATGAATCCAAAAATAGTGACTAAATCATATGTGCCAGCTGCTAATGCTCTAGTCAAAATCAATGTTCCAATTGGCCAATCTAATGTTGCAAATCAATCTGAATTACATATGAATCGTGGTAGACCTTTTGGTTCCAAAGATAAAAATCCTTGAAAAAGAAAAGGAACTAAGAATCAAGACAATCAAAAAAAGGATGTAAAGACTCCAGAAGAGTCATCAGAGATAATCAATATTTTAATTCCTAAAGAAACATAGGTACTTGAAAATGATGAAAATAAAGATATCTCAATAAATTATGTCATGAATGGAATACAATGGAACCGAAATAAAGTTAATGTTGATGATATTTTTTCAGTTAATGTAGAATTGGATGTGATAACTGATATAGAGGATCATGAACCAAAATTAGTTAACGAGTGTAGACAAATAAATGATTGGGAAAAATGGAAAGATACAATTAAGGTAGAATTAAAGTCGCTTACAAAACGTCAAGTTTTTAGACCTATAATTCGTACACTTGAAGATGTAAAGCCAGTTGGATATAAATGGGTTTTTGTGCAAAAACGAAATGAAAAAGGTGAAATTGTGAGATATAAAGCACGATTTGTGGCCCAAGATTTTTCGCAAAGACTTGGCATTGATTTTAAAGAAACATATTCACCTGTAGTGAATGCAAATCTTTTTTATACTTAGTCAGTTTAGCAGTAAATGAAGGACTCAATTTGTGATTAATGGACGTTGTTACAGCCTATTTGTATGGCTCACTTGATAATGACATTTATATGAAACTCTCTGAAGATTATAATTTGTCAGATGCATACAATTCAAATTCTAGAGAAAATTATTCAATCAAGTTGAATAAATCACTTTATAGATTGAAACAATCTAGAAGCATGTGGTATAATCGCCTTAGTGAATATTTATTGAAGGAAGGATATAAAAATGACCCTATTTATCCATGTATTTTTATAAAAAAAAATCTTATAATGAATTTGTAATAATTTCTATTTATGTTAATGATTTAAATATCATTGGAACTCCTAAAGAGATTTTAAAAATAGTAAATTGCTTAAAGAAAGAATTTGAAATGAAGGATCTTGGAAGGACAAATTTTTATCTTAGATTATAACTTGACTACGTAAAGAACGGAATTTTATGCATCAAGAAACTTATAGCTCAAAGGTGTTAAAATAATTTTGTATGGATAAATCACATCTCTTATGTACTTCAATGGTTGTAAGGTCAGTAGATGCAAACAAAGATCCTTTCAAGTCTCGGAAAAGGATGAAGAACTACTAGGTCCTGAAGTACCTTATCTTAGTGCAATTGGAGCACTAATGTATCTTGCTTGTCATACATAACCTGATATATCAGTTGTTGTTAACTTATTAGCAAGGTATATTTCTTCACCTATAAGAAGACATTGGAATGGAGTTAAACATATATTTCATTACCTTAAAGGTACAGTAGACATGTGGTGGTACAACTATTTCATGGCGATCTATGAAACAAACTATAACGGCTACATCATCCAATCATGCAAAAATTTTAGCATTACATGAGGAAAGTCGAGAATGTGTTTGGTTAAGATCTATGATTCAACATGTGCAAGAAACTTGTGGTCTATCTTCAGGAAAAATGACCCCAACAATTATATGTGAAGATAATGTAGCGTGTATTATTCAATTGAAAGAAGGGTACATTAAATGAGATAGAACAAACTATAACAGCTACATCATCCAATCATGCAGAAATTTTAGCATTACATGAGGCAAGTTGAGAATGTGTTTGGTTAAGATCTATGATTCAACATGTGCAAGAAACTTGTGGTTTATCTTCAAGAAAAATGACACCAACAATTATATGTAAAGATAATGTAGTGTGTATTACTCAATTGAAAGAAGGGTACATTAAAGGAGATAGAACAAAGCATATTTCTCCAAAATTCTTTTTTACCCATGATCTTCAAAAGAATGATGATATAAATATTCAACAAGTTCATTCATGTGAAAATCTAGCAGATATATTCACAAAGTCACTTCCAAGTAAAACTTTTAAACTAGTTCATAAAATTGGACTTCGTCATCTTAGAAATGATTGTCCACATATGAAGTGGAGAATTAAATACGCTCTGCACTCTTTTTTCCTTAGCTATGATTTTTTCCCATTGGAGCTTTCTTGGCAAGGTTTTTAATGAGGCAACATATAATAGCATATTAAATAATAATATATTTTTCTTTCTACTAGTTTTTAATCCATTGGATTTTTTGTAGTTAAATGTTATGAAACATATTCTCAAATAATAGACATTTAAGGGGAAGTGTTATGAATTATTATGAGTGAATGTTCATATTCATAACTCTTCCTTATTTTTTGTAACTTACGATTTTGTAACCGTCTTGTTTAATTCTTATTCAAAGAGATGCGATTCTTCAAGTATAGATTTAGGCTTATAAATAAGTATCTCATTTATATTGAGGGTATATGAAATAAAATTAAAATTCTCTCTTCCTCTCTATGTTATTCTTTCTGTCTTTTCTTATAATTTTATGTTCATTTTATAACATTAGTCACATAATTTTCATTAATGTAGAAAATTAATTGAATATTAGAATCATTGATTCAAGGACTTGAACTTTAATTAATCTAGTGAAATTGATCATAAAGCAATTAAGGAACTTAGGAATTGAGATTATATTCCATTTGCAATTAACAAGCAGGTGAAATCACCTATAACTTCATTGGATTAACAATCTCATTTCTCAAATCTTCACTCTATTTGCTAATTTCTTCTATTTTTTTTTACTTTATTATTTTGTTTATCAAATTATTTAAAATTTCTCAGATTTTGATAAACTCAAATAATTTTTTATCTTATGAATTAGTAATTGATTGAAAATCAAACGATATTCAAAATTCACAATTCTAAATTTTATTATTTGTTACAACTCCCTATTATACTTACTAGGTAAGATTTTAGCCAATATTTTTTTCTTTGATTTTCTCTAACAAAAAAATATATGATTTCTTATAAATTCATATTTTTTTTATACATTTATAATAATTCAACCTGGTTAGAAAATATATGATATTTGTAGTGTAAGAAAAATGAGCATAGTTCATAAAACTGGATCGTCCGGTTAGACCAATGAATCAGTCCAATGTCTAGTCCACTGGAACCAATAAACCGGTCCAAAACTAGTGAAACTGGTAAAAATCGACCGTTGGCCAGTTCATGCCTACACACTTCTCTTCGACACACAAGAAATGTTGATGAATATTATGATTTACGAAACTTTTGATAATAGTTGCTGTTTTTATTTTAGTTTTTAAATGTCATTACTAGTAGACATGTTATTTTGGTGGACTTTATTTTATTATATTCAGATTTTTATGTATAATTTTGACTATTAAAACTTAAAATAGTGTGTAATTTTATTTTTTAATGTTATGTAGTTATAGTATTATATTTTTTTAAAATATTTATTTAATTATTACTTATAATTTATTTAAAAATATTATTTAATTCAAATAATTCAATCACTAAACCTTAAACTAGTGCTTTGACAATGAAAATAAGTTTTTATTTATATATATACATTGAGGAGTTGAAGCCCATTTTGCGCGCACAATAATTTTGAGCAAACATTGGGAGCATGCTTTCGTAGTGAACGCCCTTCTCCTGGTTGAACTGGAATTCCCATGGCTTCACAGCGATGCCCTCACAATGGCAGTCATCATATGCATCACTGCCCTCACTGTCCCCTCCGCCGTCACTGCCTCCATTGCCCTCTCCACAACCCTCACTTTCACCTCTCCACTCTCTCACCTCTCCACACGCATCCCAATTCTTCCACAATTCCTCATTACAATCAAATACCCCTCACTTCTCTCCCTCAGTAAGTTCCTTTTATTATTTTCTCTCTCTTCAAACCCTCTTTTATTCCTCTTTTCAGAGCCTCTTTCGTTTCTTTCTTTCACGTCTCTATTCAAAAATTAATATTTTAAATAAAAATTATCTAAATAAAGTGACAATATACACTTAAAATCACAATAGACACGCATTCTTCTTTGTTCCTGTTATTGATTGATTATATTATTACTAGAGTCTTAAAGTTATTGATTAATTAGATGAAGTTATTGGGGATAGCAAGTGTTTATAGGACATGAGAATGGCTATATGTTGGAACAGATGCGAAAGAGGAATCAATCACCCAAAGTGTTACAACAGATGATGTTGCAAGCATTGCAGAATTGTAGTCAATTGAAAATTTTCAAGTATAGTCGGAATTGTGAACAGAAATTAGAGAGCCTATAAACTGAAATTATTCAGTGTAAAACTTTAGGTTTCATAGACAATTGTGTAGATTGTATGGACAAAGCTAAAGTAGAAAACAAATTATTTGAAACTACATGTACCCAGAAATTCAAAGATTTTAGCTAAGATTTCTTTGAAACAAATTGCAGTTCTACTATGTTTTTTTATCTAAAATAAAATAAAAAATAGAAATTAACAGATAACTAAAAAAACTGATACAAAGCACGAATTGAAAGTTTTGAACAATATGTAATTTCTGAATTCAACCATTGAAATAATGTAAATTGTGAATTCCACAGTGAAATAAAGGGACGACAAGAATGGAAAACTGTAAAGGTATAAAAGCAACCTACAATTTTGATAATTAGGGAAGAAACTGCCTTTGTGATGCTCAAATTACAGACAAATGTGTGCTGTAATTGAGCTATTATTTCTCCAGTAAAGTTGTTCCCTTAAAATTAGGAATTTTATCTTTGATTGATAACTGGCTTTGTTAGTTTGATTTTCCATTGACCTGGCCCCAAAAGCGGTATCGGACATGTTTTCCTGATACTTTTTATTAGATTTTGGATTATAGTCAAGGTTAGCTTGGGAACTCTAACTGCGCATTTATGTTTTTGCATGACTTGATCTGTAATTGTATGTATTTTCTTGTTATAATTAGGGATCCTTGAAACTGTTAGCATCATAGGTTTCGGTATGACTACTATATTATCCCTTTCTGTGTTTTCTTTGACAAAGTAATCGTTCTCCTGTTGCATTTGGTTGGTATCAGAATTTCACAAGAGCTGAAGCCTACAGAGCTAGATGGTGAGGAAGCGGATGATGAACCAGTGTTTGTTCTAACTGATGAATGGAGGGAATTCTTTGCAAAATCTGAAGCTAGGAGAAAACTAGGTAGCTAATCTATCCTCAGTTTTTGTTTGTGTTTATGTGTCTTAGTAAGGGTACTGAAATCTTGATTCTCAACTGAATTCACTGTTTAAAAGTTGAGCTTGTCATAATGTCTGGTTCTTTGGATTTTTCATTCTAATTTTGGAGTCAAAATCTACTAAAATTCAGAAAAATATCAAATCAATTATGTGGCTAGTTTCTAATATTTATTTAATGATGTCATACAGAGAAGAAGCAAGACAAGAAGGGAAAGAAGTAACTATAGAGAGAAAAATTTGCTTACAATTACTGTATGGGGAATCAAGAGGTCTGATGACAATCCTGCCCTTGAAAATGTAATTTCTTTCGTGCCAGAGGAGTATCGATAATCATGGTTTACTCGCAATGTATTACAAGAAGGAAATCTTCTCTGCACTTGTTAAAATGATGAAATACTTACTAATATCTGTAGTTCATTTTTTGTTTGTTGGATCATGTTATTTTATAAATTTCATTAACAAAAGACTAATCCGTAGATATATGTTTACAAGAAAATGTCAAAAAAGTGTGCTAGTATTTCTGTATTTGTTCTATAAAGCATTTCAAAATTGCACAAAATTAAAAACGCCATGATTTTTTGGTTTCATAAAGGTATGGTAATTTTATTCAAGGCTTGATTGGATATTCTCTCAACGAGAATTCAAGTTGTGACTCATTGCTTTGTGGGGGAGTAACCCCTTCTGTTAGACTCAACCCTGATGTTGAAATGTCAAGAATTATAACTGCATGGCCTTCATTTACACAAATTTAGTTTGGATAATTTTATGCCTCGTTGCGAATGGGAGAGTCATGAGGTGAAGAGTTGAAAGTCTTTCTTGTCTGACCAATCTTCACTGACTACACTTTCTCACATGAGTAGCTTCAATCAAATCAAACCAAGCACATCTCCAAGCTAGAAGATTCTCCCCGAATCTATCACGTGACTTAGCAAATTGTTTTCATTCAGCCAACCTTTGTTGAAAAGTTTCTTTCTGCTTCTTATCCCTTACTGGTGGTCTATGAGTAGTATTGTTCTAGGTTTGTTCAAGAAGATCCAAAAGTCAAAGACAATCTCTTTTTGGACCATTAACAGCTTGACCTACAAATGGGTCGGATACCAAATCTGGGACTTTAAGTGCAACGCTTGCACATTCAATGTTCCAGATACGGTCGATAGAGGAAACCATAGCATAAAACACCAGATATACCCTAGGGATTCAGAATCTTTCACATTTACGTAGGATTGGGTTTTGTGGGATTGTTATGACTGTACATAATCCACATCCGAGTCTTATATATTAATCAACCAATGTCGTTATATAAGCTAGACAATCTATTTCTATATTATTATATTACTGCCATAAATATTAACTTAAGTGTAACCTTTTAAAAGTACATTACTGTTTTACCCCAACCTTGAGTGTGCCAGTTTTGTAGCAGCTCAATCGCTAAATATTATGCTCATCATCCGTGTTTAGAGTGATACTAGATCAAGTATGATGCTCTATAATTCTCATTTTTATAACAAAAGTTAATGGATCCTTAGTAATTGTGTGTTGATTTATCTCTCTATGCTTCTATATTTTGTCCCTTTTCCGAGTATGATCTGTCTTTTCTCTTCATCTTCGATGGAGGGCCTTCGAATAAGAAATGCAGTATAATATGAAAGATGGAAGGCTGTTAGAGCTGTGATTCATATGGAATCTAAAGATGAAAGGTAGATAACTCGTTGATAATAATCGTTTATAGCGAGGACAAAGACACAAAAGTAATATATTTTTATTTATTATTTTAAAAAGAAAGTTTAAATATATATATTTTTATTCTTATATTTTTTTATGAGATTTTAATTTTAGTCTCTTAAAAATAATTAGTGTTAGTCTCTAATTTTTTAAAGTTTGGCAATTTTTGGCCTTTATTAATGATGTCACTTCACAACAAATTGATATGAAGCTTAGTTAGTCATGTCATTATATATTGGAGTAACATGTTTCATGTTCACAAATTTTAACATGTTATTCTACCTTTCTTTGATTTCAAAGACTGAATCTTAGCAAAGTTAAGAGATGGACCTATAACTATCATGCAGAAATCAAAGGTAGAATCTTGATGTTTAGAGCCAGAATTAGGCCTAAACCGGAAGAGAAAGAAGGTAAATGCAAATTCTGACCAATGTGTAGTGTTTAGGTCATATTTAAGTCAACAAATATTCGATTGGATTCATTCCAGTAATACTTGAAAGCTAACATACAAAACTTTAGTTTACCTTTAGACCATGAAGCTAAACAAACACAAATTCTGAGTCAAAATTAAGGAGTGAAGTTGCATATTCATTCTAGGAGATTAAGTGGTTATTATCTAGGATATTTCTTTTTTTAGATTATGGTATATTTCAAATTTCACATTTGATATAATCTTATTTTTTGAATTTCTATTAATATTTTTTATCATTAAAATTAGGATGAGAATTTCTAGTGATTTAATTATTTTATGTTTTTAAATTTTGAACCTATTAAAGGGAGAAGGGAGGAGAACACATACACACAAACAGATTTAGTTTCCTTTTCTTTTGCATATTTTTCCTATTTTCTAAACTTTAGATTTTCATGTTCTTGTACCTATGGAAGAATAGTTTTCATTATCTAATTCAAGGATCAAGGAAATACAATATTCTTGAGAATTGAGTTGCAACATTTGTTCTCAATTCAAGTTTTCTCCTTTTCTTTCTAATCTATTTATTTTCATAAATTGAAGGTATTCGTTCTAATTTTATTTGCGAAGTGATTGTTTCAATATTATTCAATTGATGTGTATGAGTCAATTTTACGAAATTATGATTAAGTGGTACAAAATTAATACAATTTCATTGAATTCTAGAAATGTCTAAATTTTAATTGATTTTGTGTTAATCAAATGCATAAAGGTTTTTGGGTGATCACTTTGTTCGAATTAAGATTTTATTCAAATTCAAATTTTAACCACCAAATTAGAATATTATTAATTTTGAATTAAATGACTAAATGTTACTTTTTGCTTCGATTCTTGAATTAAGTGTTTAAATTAATTGATTAACACTTCTATTTTAGATGTTGTTATGTTATTAATTTTAGTAAATTATCCTATTCCAAACTCCAATTTGATAAATTATTTTAATGATCATTGAGAGGGTAACTTGATTGCTTGTCTTGTCTCATACTATAGTAATTACATTTTTATTACTTTAACCCGCATACTTTAGATCACGCGATCAATATAATTCATTGCTTTTGTGATAACTTTTTTTGTATCTTGTACCGTATATATGAACATGTCTAACATATATATTAAATCACTTGTTCTTGTCAAAAGAGCGTAAAAAAAAAGTATATTAAGTCTAACAGATATATAAATATGTCTAACCTAAACATTTTATTTCTAGGCTATACAATGAAGATACATATCCACTATCATACATGAATCTCAAACTATCAAACCAATCAAAGTTTCATAATACTTCATTTGTAAATTATAATATGTATTTTTATGAGAAATAATAAAAGTCTCACCATGGCTAAGGATTTAGCCATGTTAATTTAGGGTGGACCAATACAAATTATTAGGTGCTCTTATTTTTTTTAATTCTCTATATTCTTTGTGGTATAATTATTTTTTTCTTAATTAAATTAAACTTATTATTTTTAAGAAATAACTTATTTCTATGTCTAAAATTTTTAAAACAATAAATTTAATCTAAAATTTTGCAAAAAATTATTAAATAGAAGAAAAGTGAGTTTAATTTATATTTATGTAATTCTCTCTCTATATAATATTATTGCAGTTATCTTTAATTTTTATTTTTTTTTATACTACAACTTGGCATTTTTTGTATCTCCTTCTCAATTGGCTAACACCGAATATCATTCAACGGTTTATTCTTTTGACCCCTAGACATTCCTTGGATTATTGCTAAAGTTGAACATGTTTAACAATGTGAAAGGATAAAGATTTAAATGAACGATTTATTAAATATATTAGAAAATTCTTCATAGCTAAAGAATCATTAATGGATAGACTAATTCAACGACAACTGCAATCAGAAAACTAAAATAAGACCTTTCACTTAATCTTATCATATTGATCTTTGGAGAATCTTTGAAAATGGTTCATATATTTCAATTGAATATGTAAACACTATTGGTGTTTACATACAAAATTTATAAAATCATATCTAACATAAGATTAAGTTGATGATTATTATTATTTTTTTTTTTGTCAATAAACGAATTGTTAATGGATAATTTCTGATTATAAAAAATTGAAACATAAATTTTAGATATAATTATAATAATCGATTAATAATTAGATTAAGTAATTAATGCTTAATTTTTCTTAGAAAAAAGTCTCAAAATTTGTACTTCATTTTTTTTATTTGATTTAATCCAGATTCAACCTGGGATACACAAACACTCTACTACCGGAGAATCTTGTTTAAGCAATACGGAACCGCTTGTGACGGGAATAACATCCGTTGCTTTAAGATTTGTACTTTATGTATTATACTAATAGTTTAAATAAGATTAATGATTTTAAACAAAAAAATTATAATAACTTTTATAATTTATTTTAAAATAAATTATATGAAAACTAACTTTGAACGCAATAGACCTACCCGATCACAATCTTTGTATTATCAACGTCACTGCCAAATATATGTTAACACTGAGCTATATAATATTAACATGTATGATTTCATGTGTTTCAAACGAGAGTTACTTCTTACATTAGAGAAAAGCCGAATTCTTTCATGCAAATTAACTTTTTTTAAAACATGAAAACCTAGAAAAATGATTAATTTTATGTTATGTTGTTAAGTGTACTAATTATACCTTAATCAATTTTATAAAGATTGCTTATAAAAATCACCAAGCATAATATTGTATTAAATAATACGGCAGCGTGACTCATAGGAGGTAACTAGAGCATATTGTAGGCATTAAATAATGTTAGAAGAGTAATTTTTATTTTTTTATTTTTTTAAATCTTCTTGATTATTAAATAATATTATATATATATATATATTTAATATTTTAAAACAATAAACACATGTATTTTTTATTTAGTATTTACTTTATAAAATATGTAAGACTATTATTAAACTATAAATATGAGATATATCAAAGTTCATTTTTGAAATATATCTGTATGTATGTGTGATTATGCTTAATATTTTTTCTCATAGACATACGATTTAAAAAATTTATTAATTATTAATTAATAGACTATTAAATAATTAAAAATAAATAATTTTCTTAAAAATAAATTTTTAATTTATTTTTTCTCTCTCTTTGTTAAATAAATCTTTCATTTTTTTAAAATAAATCACTTATATAATTTATTTAAAGAAAGTATCTTCTAATTTACTTTAAATTCATGTATATATTGTACCAACCGTGAAAATTTTATATCTAATGAACTCATAAGTATTATGATCACCAGCTAGCTCCTGTATATATGTAAACAGAAATATTTTATATATTATTTTACGTAAACTTTTATATATATATATATATATATATATATATATATATAATTAAATAAAAAAATATTAAATATAATATTTTTTTTGGTTTTAAAACGAGGCTAGAAACTCAAAACAAACAAACTAAGCACTAGGCCTTTGCCGCAAAGTACCTAACGCATCAAATCTAAAGAAAGACAACAGAAAAATAGGAGTCTATAAAAAACAGAGGTTTACAACTCATGATCAAGGTCAGCTTTAGCTAAACAATCAGCACACTGATTTATTTCTCTAAAATATTAAATATTTTCTTTATTTTATGCTAAAATATTAAATAATATTTACGTCTTTTTTAAAAAATTACTAACTCTATTTTTTATTAATATAAAATTAATCATATTCCTGACTCAAAGTTTTGTCTCAAATAACTCTTCTGTCAATATAAAAAGTCTCATGTATACCTGTTATTATAAATTTAAAAAGTTACTTGTTATAACCCTTCCGTCAATATTTATTATTTATCAAAATTAAAATAATATAAATTTGGTTTTTATGTTTGATGTTATTTTTTATTTTAACTCTTATAATTGTATCATATTTTGGCCGTTTATATACAAATTTTACATTTTAGTCTCTCTATAAAATATATTATTTTTTATTTTGAACCTGTATAAAAAAAATATTAATATCATTATAACATCAATAAACTACAAGGATCAATTAATTTATAAAATATTTTTATTTAAAAATAATAATATTTCTTACAGTAACTAAAGTTACAAAAGTTTATTCAGATCTAAAAGGTAAAACTATTATTTAACCTAGATTTTATCTTTTACAAAATATCGTTATCCAATATACAACAGAAAAGAAGCATATAATATTAACTTGTACCGTTATGTTTCATATTTGAATTAAACAAGATTGATTAATTTATTTTTTCTTTGAGAGAAGAGTCATATACTTTTCTTTCGATCTGAAATATATTGTCAGACGTTAGTACATGTGTTGAGTTGAGGTACAAGTTATTTTTGACATTAATTACTTTTACTTTTTGGTAAAATATACTATATTCCTTCTTAATTAAAAATTTTGATGTCTTCTTTTATACGTGAAATAATTTTCACTATTAATATTATATTAACAGATAAAGATATTAATAGTTTAACTTAAACAAATATTATTTTTAAATTTTTAAAATAATAAAAAAGTTACAACAGTTAATCTAAAGTAGATATAAAATATTATTTTAAATTTACAGATATTTTAATAAATAATTTTTTTATATTTTATAATTTAATTTGAGATTATTGTTTTCTATTTTCTTTCTCATTTTGGCATGTATAGATATTGTTCTCATTTAATAGTAATAAGAATTACTCAGAGACTTATTACTATGTTGATGATAAGTTTATTTTAAAATAATATTAAAAATATTTAAAGAGAAAATAAAAAAGATAAATATAAATAATTAATAAAAATTATAATTAAATTATGAAAATTATTGCAATAATTAGAACCTTGCATATAAAATTAAGAATTAATAATAATAATTTTGTTGATGTAATTTTGTAAAAAAATATTTGAATTTTTGAATTTTAAGTAAAAATATATATTAAAATTAAAAATAATTGTGTACGTATAATATTAAAATGTTGATATTAAATTATAATAATTATTAAAAAATTACTCAAAAAATTGCATATAAAAATTAAGAATTAATAAAATTACTATGTTGATGGCATGTTTATTTTAAAGTAACATTAAAATTATTCAAAGAGAAAATAAAAAAATAGGTAAATTAAATAATTAATAATACAATTATTATAGAATTAGAAAATTATTGCAATAATTAGAACCTTAACCTTACATATAAAATTAAGAATTAGTAATAATAATTATGTTGATATAATTTTATAACTGTTTTTGACAAAATGAATATTTTTATTCTTTATCTTTAAAATAAAATTTGATATCTAAATATATTAAATGTATATTTATTGAAAAATTATCAAACACATTATTTAACAAAAAATATTTCTAAAATAACTTCTTTTTTCTTTATTTTTTATCTAATTAAATTCGGATTCGACAAAAGTCTCGCACTTAGATGTGATAGATGATTCTATTATTGAAATTTTTTTTGCATAAACAAAAATTTGAACTTGAGATCTTACTTAATTGATACCTAATTGCTTACCATTCAGACTAACTTTCATTAGTATTTTTGGAATAGTTTAATTTTTACACTTAAATAACATAAAATAATTTATAAATAAAGCATGAAAAATAGACATTTATAGAAAAAAATGATAAATAATATATGTTTGCAGCGAGATAATATAAAAAATGAAAAATGTAGTGATATGAATATAAAAAAATAGAAAAAAATGAAAAATGTTACTTATATTAACACTTTGGAGCGTTTATGAGTCAAAATTTTAAATTAATCTCTACTCAACGATGCAGATGTATAACAAACAAAAGGGAAAATGACCTCGATGGTTGAAATTGTGTCACTTACTTGCCAAACTCATCATGGTATTTCCTTTTTTCATGGTTTTAAATTGGTTTTGCATAATTAATTTCTTAGAAATTAAAAAAGCATTTTATGTGAAATAATTATAATTATTAATATTAAATTTTTAAAATATTTAAAAACCATATTCCCGTATAAATTTCAAATTTATGTATTACTATGTGCAGCACCTTCGCACAATGCCAACACTCCAATTTGGTGTCATATTCGGACCGCACAAGAAACCAACGTGAACATACATCGTCATGATTTCATCATCATCTTTTGTATTTCCTTGTACGGCCTCCCTACATATTCAATCTTGATCAACCATGAACCATAGTAAAGCACATCACACAAACACACACCGTAGAAAACAGACACCAACCTTTACCTCCCTCTCAGTTTCCTTTCCTTCGTTGGTGGGTTCTCCTTTTGCATTCTCATCCAACCATGATCTATACATTCTAACTTCAACTTTAACCCCACTAACAAATCCACTCTCTCTTTTCTGTTGCCAACTTTTTCCTTATTCTTCATCCCCACCCTATTTCTGAGACCGAGATCCGTGACACCCTTTTGCATTTCTTCTCATGTGCATGTTTTCTTTTTGGTCTTGTTCTGAGCATTTGGGCTGTTATTCTCATCGACCCTTTATTTGTTTTGAGTCTTAAATTGGGCTGTTGCTGAAAAGTTTGGTACTTGTGCATTTCTTGCTCAATATTTGTTTGCTTATTACCATTAAAGTTTGTAGAATTGATTGTGGTGAAATTGATTTTGAATAGTTAAATGTGAATGGTATATGTGCTTAAATTGATTTGAAATATAATTTTGTATAACGCGTAGTTTTTAATTAAAAAGTCGTAGATTTGATTCTGGAACTTTTAAACAAACGGAATTTGGGGTTGTGTGTGTGTTCCTTCGGCTTTTTTGGTATTATTTGTTGAGTTTGGGGGGGTGTTAGTAACTTGGTTGCCTTTCAATGGGGTGTTTGGATGAGGGGCATTTCAATGGGGAGCTTGAAAATGGAGTGAGTATTGGATGTGGTGAAGTGGGTTTTGAGGAAGAGGGAAACACAGATACAGCTGCCATTGAGGATGCTGTGAAGGTGCTGTTGTTGGGTCTTGGTGAAGATATCAACAGGGAAGGTCTTAGGAAGACACCACTTCGTGTTGCCAAGGCCCTTCGGGAAGGAACCAGAGGTGACTATGTTTATATCAACTTTTTGGACTAACGGTTTTTATTTACTTTTGAAAGGGTTGAACCATTGAAGTGAATTTGTATCAATCATGGTAGTTTAATTGATGATTCATTTAGGAATCAGTTATCTGTTTAATAACTTAACATCTTAGTAATTGTTATGATTTGTTTTGAAAAGAAAGGTTTCTATCTAGTAGTTGCAGTATCATTGTCATTAGTGTAGTGTTTTTTCCCACGTTACTTTACCTTCTTTAGATTAAGATGGTAAATGGTGATGCGGATTATACTCTTTTATCTTTGCTGTCTTGTCTTTTTCAAGAAATTGAATTCTTTCTGATGCAGTATCTAAATATGGATCTGAAGTTAGTTGTATATGGTAGTTGGCTGGGTATATGTACTACTTATTCATCTTTCAACAGCTTGTGGAAGTTGAAGATTTAACTTTACAAAGAATAATATGGAGAAAAAAATTGATTGCACTTATGGTAATTCATCTGTTTTAATTGGATATAATCTGTGTTTGTTGCACAAGTCTTTCTGTATTCCTAATGTCTTTTCCGAAACAGGCTGGACTGCCTTGTGGAGTGGGAAGAATTGAAGGGTGTGTACTTTAGAAGTTATGGTACTAAATATAATCCATGTGGAGGAAATCTTGTTGATTTTATATATGTACTCTCTCTCTCTCTCTCTCTCACACACACACATAGAGAAAGAGAGAACAAAATGGTAGTTCAGTCCTGTTGAGGCAATTGCTAGAAGCTTTTTATGCTTGTACCTTTGACATGCCTTTTCATTCTCCTGAATGCTTTAGAGAATTTTTAAGTTTCCCTTTGATATTATGTATGATGTGTTTAATAGACTGAGAAAAGGTTTTAGCATCCGTTTTTCTTCTTTCTGAAACATATAAGCGACCAAGATATTTATTCTATTTGCTAACCATCCAGTTTCTTTACCTCTGGGATCTATAAGCTATAGTTAAATTAAGAATAGACATAGTGATTACTGATTAGTGTTTTTTTAAATAGCTGCTTAATAAGTTCCGAATACTTACTTGTTTTCTTCTTCCTCCATATTTGGTTTCTTGCTTTATCCATTTGGCATTGTATAAAATTAAAAATTGTCATATTTCCTAGCATAATGTTATTTCCAAAATTGAGGAAATTGTTTTTCCCAGGTTACAGACAAAAAGTGAAGGACATTGTCGAAGGTGCTTTATTCCCTGAAGCTGGCTTAGATAATAATAGAATTGGTCATGCAGGGGGTGCAGGTGGACTTGTGATTGTCCATGATCTTGACCTTTATTCCTATTGTGAATCTTGCTTGCTACCATTCCAAGTAAAGTGTCATGTGGGTTATGTCCCTTCTGGCCAAAGAGTTGTAGGTTTAAGCAAGCTCTCTCGCGTGGCAGATGTATTTGCTAAACGGCTCCAAGAGCCTCAGCGTCTGGCAGATGAGGTGTGTTCAGCATTGCATCAGGGAATAAAGCCAGCAGGTGTTGCTGTCATTCTTCACTGCACACATATCCACTTTCCAGACATAGAATCAATCTTTCTTGAATCTTACCAACAAGGGTGGGTTAAGACACTTGTTTCGTCGGGTTCTGGGGTTTTTGAACACAAAAATGCAGATGTATGGGCTGATTTCTTTTGCCTTCTTAAATTCAGTTGTATTGATATAGAAAAATTTCGTCTGAGAGGATCATTTGACCAACGCTGGTGTCCATCTCTGTCTTCTCTTTCTACTAAAGTTTCCTCCAAAATTGGACCCATCAATCCTGTAATGGTCGCCGCAGTATCTTCAATTCTCAATTGTTTGGGAGAAGATTCAGTAAGGAAAGAGCTTGCAGGAACTCCTAGCAGATTTGTGAAATGGCTGTTGAACTTCCAAAGCATTGACATGAATGTGAAGCTGAATGGTTCCCTTTGTGGAGGGATAGATACTTTGAACATCAATAGGGAGGTAAACTTCAATGACAAACAAATACACTCTGAGTTGAACTTGCCTTTTTGGTCTCAATGTGAGCACCATATACTTCCATTTTATGGTGTTGTTCACATAGGATACTTCCTTTCAGAAAGTTATAATCCCATTGGAAAATCCATTTTACAGTCTATAGTTCATTTTTATGGTTTCAAACTCCAGGTTCAGGAAAGACTTACTAGGCAGATAGCAGAAACCATTTCACCACTGTTAGGTGGACATGTAATAGTAGTTGTAGAAGCTAGCCATACCTGTATGATTTCTAGGGGAATTGAGAAGTTTGGAAGTAGTACTGCTACTGTTGCGGTATTAGGACGCTTTTCAACTGACATTGCTTCAAGAACCGTGTTCTTGCAGAGTCTTAGCGCTACACCTTCTGGGGGGCAATAATTCCTGTTGGAGCTCACTTGAAATGATTTTGGCAGTGATTCCTTTCTTTCCCTGCATTTGTGGAGGTTTTTCTATCAGCAGTTCAGCAGCCTATACATTGATCAATTCAACAAACCCCCTTTCAGGAATAATTTCAGCGCATTACAAAGTAACCTGAATTTTGTTCTGGTGGAACATGCTTACACTCAGAAATAGTCTTGTGATTGATAGCTAGATCTTCATATTTTGTCTTGTCTGTATGTGAGTGTATACTATAAATCCCTTGAGGGAAATTCAAGGAGTGAGCCATTTGTCCAGATTTATGCTAGCAGACTTTGCTCCTAAATTATCATTTATATTTGTTGACCCTGAAAATTTTTCTCAATTTAAAAATTACAATGGTGGTTACTCAATTTTATTATTTTATATGAAGGTTCAGAAAGGAAAGATTCAAACTTTATTGTTGTACCCGCAAATGCTTTGATTGCCATGGAAATGGAGTGATAGAATGGATCACTAATAGCTTTTACATCCTTGAACTGATAGTTATATAGATCTTGTTAATTCTGTAAAAATCAAGTAGCAAAGAATGCTGATTCTTGAGTCAAGTTGTAGAAAGACAAGACATCAACACTGAGGCACAGACCTTAATAGAACTACTTTTAATATTTGCCTCTTGGGTTAACTGTTACCCAAATGTCCAGCTAAAGTTCATTGATTATTGAAGACAGTGTAGAATCCAAAAGCATTTGCTTCCATCTGCAATTGTGGCCAGGATTTTGTTTTAACTCTTGTATAACTATGGGTTGGATTTCAATTCTCATCAACAAACAACTTATGCGTTCAACTAGATAGTTTGATCAACATGAATTTTTTATCATGAATTAATTTCTATTCAGAATGTTAAAGTTTCCCCCTTCACAAATATTTTTTTAGAGTTGAACCTTCAGCATTACAAAAGTTTCTTAATGAAGTAGTCAAAATGCTGTTTTAGTCTCTAAAATATCATGTGAGTCATTTTAGTCTCAAACTTTACTGAATAATAGTTGCTTTACTATCTAAAACTACAAAATTAAGGATTAAAGTGACCGACTTTTGAAAATGTTGAGGGTTAAAATGATATTTATTATTTTATTATTATAACATTAGATATTAAATTGACCACTGTTTATAGTTTTAGGAGTTGTTTTAATCTATTACTTTTTCTTGCTGATTGAGTTTAAACTTATTATTTGAAATCCCTCCTACTTCTTTGAAATTTACTTGTTTGAATAGATAGAAAGTAGAAAGATAATATTAACAACTTCTTTATGAATATATTTTCTAATGAATGATGTTTATTCTCTATATACTTATTCTTAGGATGTAAAATGATATTTTTGGACACATTAATTGCACTTGTATTGTTAAAAAAAAAAAATACGAGTTTTATGTTTAAACAATGAATAATCTTCTAGCTAGTTAGTTGGTGTTTTACTTGTTGAGAACAACAATTCCTTGGGGCCACGTATTATATGAGATGGTTATTGAGTTTTATTTTATTTTTATTGTTGAATCCTGAGATGATATTTGTTGCAATGAGATAACATTGTCCAATGATAATTGTTTTTTCTCTATAGATCTTGCATGACTAGTATCATAGTAATCAATTAACCTAAAAATATTTATCTTTATTATAAAGTAGACTCTAAGGCTAGTGACTCCTACATGATATTTGAACTTTCCCCCCCTCTGAATATGACTTTATAGGATCAACTTGAAAATGAGCACAAAAGTAATGCTTAACATAATATTTCTTATATAAAAGTGTCTAATTGCACCTATGTAAATCATTTGATATATTGATTTACCGAACTTATCTTTTGATAAGATAATATGCAAGGGTACACAAGTGTTCATAACTTTTTGAGTCATTCATTTTGAGTTTCATTAGTAATTACTTGCTGTAATTTCTATTAATGAATGAAGGTTACATGTTTTTTGGTGCTTGATCTTTATGAAGGAATAATTTTAGTTCTCCCATTAAGCTCATATTACAGCACTCTTCATCTAGTTAGAAAATTTCATAGCAAGATAGAGATTCATTTGTAACACTGAAGTTGATATTATCTACCCAAAATTTGAATTACAACGAAATCCTTGTTCGAATATTTCTTAAAAGGGTTGTATTAACTTTTTTACCCTTATAATAATACTATATGGCATGAAAAAATTACTCAAAATTTTCATATTAAACTTTTAGTATTTGTTTAAGACCATGAGGTGTTTTCTTCTGTCTGAAACATGATCTTCAAAACTAAAAGACTTCTTTACAAAAAATTTATCTTAATTAAAATATCATACTATTTGAAATAGTTATTTTGTTTAGTTTTGTGCAACAAATACAAGAAGAATGCATAAGACTTCTAAACATAGTAATTGATACAAAAGTTTAATAAAGCCAATACTCTCTTGTGTTGTTTCTTAGGAATTACCTTCTTTGTTCATCTTATTTTTGAATATGATCTAAATTACTTAACTCCTCCTAGTTGACAAGTATTTACTCATGATATAACATAATTTAATAGTTATATTTATAAAATTTATATTACAAAAAATTTATTGAATCGAGTAAGATAATTTTTACTCTTTTCATAAATTTCACATTTTAAATAACTCAAAAAATAAACAACATAAATTTCTGAAGTTAAAAAAGATCCAAAGTAGATTGTTCGCAATGTAGGAGAAACTTAAGATGATTAAGACGAATTAGACTTAGGATTTGGTTCCTAGATTCCAACATAAATGAAGATTACTTATTAGAATCTTACTAGTTTGTAGTAAGAAGAATCTATAAACTTATAAGTTGTGATATAACCAATGAAAATTCCGCTTCTACCTTTTTATTTAGCTTATCTTTATTCACCTTTGGCACGTAAGTAAAACAAATATATCAAAAGACTTTGAAGTTTTAAATTAAATGTTTATAACCATACCATGTTTCAGAAGGATGTTTTCCTTGCATTGCTTTTGTAGGAAGTATGTTTAATAGAAACATTGTCGTATTTATAGCTTCAGTCCATAGCTTCTTTGGAAGTTCTTTCTCATGGATCATACATCTAGTGATCTCCATTATTGTTTTATTTTTTCTTTCACTCACTCCATTTTGTTGCAGAGTGTATAAGGAGTAGTAAGTTGGTGCAATATCTCAATATCTTAACAGAAGGAATTAAATTGCTCTTAGGTGTACTCTTTATCATTATCAAACCTTAGAACCTAAATTTTGTAGTCAGCTTGATTTTCAATCCAAGCCTTGAATTTATTGCAACTACTATTAGGCCTTTTCCAACATCTAAAATGAGAATGATTCTTTTTTTCACAAACAAGGAGGATGTTTTGACTTTCCCATCTTTTCCTTTATTGCCTTTGTTAAATCCCTCTCATTGCTTAAAGTTGCTTCTATGAGTCTTCTTTTCTTTTTCTTTCTAGCCATGATTAAATTTCAGTTTAATCTGTAATGCACCTTCAATCACATCTTCCTCCCTCATGGGTCTCATTATTTCTTGAAGTTGCAAAGCATATAACATTTTGCTATAGTGATAATTGACAAATCTTTTAAATTTTTCAAAAAAGAAATAGTGGATTTGAACATCTCAAGAACAATCATGAGAATTTTTTAAACAGTTCTCTATTAGAAAACTCAGTTCTAAGCTATCAGAATATCCTTTTACTGTTTCTGACTCCTTCGTTTGCTGTATCTCAAACTCCTTAATCAAATTCCGCACTTGCATCCCTTTGACTTTCTCATTTTCTTCATACTCTTACTTGAGAAAAATCCTATATGGCCTTTGCTAACTTCAGAGTTATAATTCCAGTAAGGATTATTGAATAAACAACATAAAATAGGCAAGATTTTGCCTTCAATTTTTACTACCTTCTTTCCTTATGAAACCTGATTTAATTAACTGTTGAATTTTGTAGTAATTGTCCAACCTTATAATCCTTCTCAATAGCTTCCCAAAGATCCTTGCATCAAGAAAATCCTTCATTCTAATTGTCCGGAGATGTTCTCATCTTAAAAAATTGATAATGTTATGGCTAGGTTATTAGATTATATTTCTAATTTTTAATGTAAATGTTTAGGTGTTTGGTGGAATTCTCAATCTTATTAGGTCCCTCAAGAACAAATAAAACTCCGATACCAATTGTTGGGACTATGAAAAATTTAGAAGATTATAAACTTCAAAGTTAAAATTCACATTTTTATTCATACTAACAACCTTTAAATATAACAGTCATAACTTAAAATTGATTTTAATTCTATCCTTTAATTTAAAAATTAATTACAAATAAAACTATCTATAAATATGTATATGTCCATTCCCACTCATAATTCTTAAAATCAAAAGTCATAAAATAAGAATTTTAATGAAATAAACAGTAATAATAGATACTCATAATTCTTATAATCTCAACAACTTTTCCAAACAACTTTAATTTTAGAATTACAAGATTGAAGACCCAAAAATTGAAAATATAATGCATTTAGTGGTTACATTATATAGTGTTGTTGAGATTGCAAACTAAGAGAAACATTTCAACCACACCTTAGAGATAAATATAAGCATTCAAAGAATATGCGTGAAGTACTTTTCTCTTCTAAAAAGTATTTTGATCATATTATTTCTCCTAGATGATGAAAACGCTATTTTTCAAATTTATCTTCCAAGGTATTTGATTGTGCAAAACCTTCCATGTAAAAAGTGTTCACCTTCAATGGCACATATCTATTCTGAAATTTTTGAAGCTTTAATTCAATGTGTCTATTTTTATTTGATTGAATAAGATCATAATGAAAATACATTAGCACCACCTTTCTATTTCTTGCAATCTAAAACTTTTCATGAAGGTAATTAAGTAACTTCACCTCCCATATATTGAAATACACTCCTCCAATGTCATGTGCAAACCTTTTTCTATCCATCCATTTTCTTAATTCCATCGCTTTTGCCTCTTTATTAGAAGTTATATTAAACATTGTATTAAAACGAATGCACAGAATTCTTCCACCCATCCAAGACTGTATCCTTCCCATTTTGAAGACATTTTGAGGGTGTGTCAATTAATCAATTTTCGTCTCTCCCTAAACTACTTTTTATGACCTTTTCCCATATTTTGAGATTAAGAATGTGCTACAACAATTTTTTTCTACTTACATTGTCCATCTTAATTTACCAAGCTAAATTAAAAATTTTAAACCCCAGTCTCCCATTTTTGCTTTGTCTACATATTTTTTTTAATGTCATATGAATGAATCTTATATGAATACTCATTCTCCCCATTAGAGTTTCCAAATAAAGATTCAAGTGGATAAATGATACTTTTTGGACACTTGAAGAAAGAAAATTAAATCAAGATGGAGAATAAAAATCAGTTTGAAAAGGACAATTCTACAACTAATTTTTTATTTTTTTTGTCATCCCATGATAACTAAAAGGGATTGTCCTAATAGTTTAAGATTTTCTTCCTACCTTTTTCAACCAACCATTCTCCAAATTTATTCTAATCACTTAACTTTATTAAAAATTACCCATGAGGCTGAAAATGAGTTTAAATAGATAAAGCAATGATTTTATTGTCCATATAGTATTAAAATTTTCTTTCTTTTTTATGATTAGAGTAATATATACATTTTGGGAAATGTAAAATTGCATAAAATTTGAGACTCAACCTTGTATCATGAATATAAAAAGGTACACAACTTTTTCTCTCTAGCACCCGACTAAG